GCTGCTGCTGCTGCTCAATGTACTGCAGCAGCTGCTGGTTCTGCTGCTGCTGCACTGGGTCTGTCTCCGGTTGCTGCAACTCCTCTATCAGCTCCTGCTGCAGCTGTGCTGCTGCAGCAGCAATGCTTTGCTGCTGCTCGAATAGCTGCTGCACCTGCTGCTGTCTTTCTGTTGCTGCTTGTAGTTGCTGCTGCAGTGCCTTCTGTCTCTGCTGCAGCTGCTGCAGCGTGTCTGCTGCTGCTGCTGCTTTTGTATCTGCTGCTGCTTCCAGCCCCGCTACTGCATGCCTAGCGCATGCAGCAGCAGCACGAAGCTCAGATAGTTGTTTACCTGTTTCTCCTAGGTGTGTAAGCGATGCTGCTTCTAGCCTTTGCTGCTGCTGCTGCCGCTGCTGCTGCTGCTGCTGCTCTTTTAGTTCTCGCTGCATATTCAATCTATCTAACTCAAACAAAAGCCTAACCTCTTCTGCTTCTGCGTCAGCTAGCTGCTGCTGCAGCTGCTGCTGCAGCTGCTGCCGGCAGCTAGGCGGCAGCAGCCCCCATAATAAATCATTGTCTTGGGGCCCCTCCCGGGCCCTCACCAGCCGCTGGGAGAGAGAAGGTAGCTGCTGCAGCTCTAGCTCTGTTGTTTTTCTTTGGTTTCTCTCCGACAGCTGCTGCAGCAGCAACCCCACCGAAGCACTCAGCAGCAGAAACCACATTACCTTTCGTCGCAGCAGCGCGCTGCTGCTGCTGCCTCGATCAGCAGCAGCAGCAGCAGCAGCAGCAGCTGCTGCTGCTGCACCACCACCACCACCACCGGAAAAAGCAGAAGACAACACACCTTCGTGCTGCTGCTCCTGCTGCTGCAGGCTGCTGTATCCCCCCTCCCATCCTTGCTGCTGCTGCCCCTCTTCTCCTTCTCTATCTGCTGCTGCTGCTGCTGCTGCTGCTGCTTGCAGGCCGAAGCTGCTGCTAAAGAGCTCAGACATAGTGAGGTGGGGGAGGGGTCTGCGTGAGCGTCGCTGCTGCTCTTGTTTCTGCTGCTGCTGCTGCTGCTGCTGC